CGGGGGCAGCGGCATGTCAGATATCTGCTCTTCATCCTCCTGGGCTTTGAAAGCTTCAACCGGGTGCACGAGACTTCTCTCCTTCAGCTCATGACCATCTTATCGGAATTCTCACAACCGAAGGTGGGTTCGAGTATTCTACGCAAAGTGATACAGCTGCTGTCTCCACCCCTGTCCTTAGTTCAGTCGGTCAGCCGATCTTACGGCAGTAGTTGTTACAACTTGTGGTCGTAGCAGTAGCCTCTGGCACTGCTGGAAGCGATGTCCACAAGCGAGGACAAGAAGATCATGCAGAGGACACCTGATAAGTATATAGCACAGATTTCATGACCCGGTTACAGGTAATTGTCGATACTGGACTGAGCCTTGGCCTATTGACCGAGGCCCCTCACTAGACAACACGTGTACATGCCATGTCTCAAGCAAGGCATGTCGTTGTGGTAGCTTACCCATCGCAAACTACATACACTGGTAACACAATTCCCGACCCAGACCAGATGATCAACCAATTCATTCACAGATCCCCTCGTGTCTGACATTTTTTGAGAAGCAATTAGTAGCAGTAGCAGCAGTACTGGTAGTAATCGTAGCAGGGGCAGCAGGCAGTAGTTAAACCGGCAACTGTGGCGGAGTACTCGTGAGAACGTGGCAAAACACGTCCAGAGTAGCCCTTCGTCCGGCCACAATTATGATACCAGAGAGGATAACTTCTTCTGCGAAGGTGCCTCCGGCTCATCCTCTAAGGGGGAATAGCCCATCTTCTGCATGTACTCCTCCAGCAGCGGGTCGTCAGCAGCCTCGAGCGACCAAGCTCCCGAGACAGAAACCCGGCAAAGTCCAAGTCCTACAGTGCGGTATGGTCAAACCAACCGGTTCTGCCCTGGTTCACGCAAGCGCCCAGGCCTCCTCCTCATCCACAACACCCCAGTCATCTTCCAGCTCGCCATCGATGTCCAGGTCGTCCCCAGCCTCCTCAAATAGGAGTGACCAAAAATAGGGGACCCTAATGTCGTACCCTAAATAGTAGGACTCTTTTCAAAAAGACCCCCAAAATAAGGTACCCCCTAGTTTCCGGAAACTCCCAAATGTTGGGCCATGGAAAGAGCTGCGAAGGTCCGTTTTCTATGCGAAAGTCCGGAGCACCTGAAGACGGGCCTGGCTAGGGCTCAAGGCTCCAGGGCGCATGCATGCACGGAAGCAGTAGATACCATCATCAGGCACAGATTTACGCGACCTCAATCTCAAGTTGAACGCGGTTTATGCTGTTCAACATGTCCTGATAAGTCAGGCTTAAGAGACCTGCAATGGATCGGATCGCATCCAGGCTTGTCGTTTTGCTACTTCATGCCTGCATCCTTCGGCAGCATATGCGATCGTTGGACCTCCTGACGTCTTGGCGGGCAATTAGGCAATCAACACTAGGGATAGCTTGGCAGATGGTTTGGGGCAGCATAGATCATCACCTATGGAGAGCACCCACCCGCCCAAAGGCCCCGCGAAAATGCCTTCTGTGCAGCACGTCGGGCCAGCGGCTGCCCCACTGCACCTCCTCGAAGTCGGGAGGAAAGTACAGCGGGCGCTCATTCATCAAACAGCTAAGCGAGTAGTGAGGTGACTTGATGCCTAAGTTTAAGATGTTTAAGCCCACATCCAGCGACAGCATCCAGCAGTGAGCTTCAGTGGAAGTGATTTCCCCCGGCTTGCAGCCGTAAGCAAATTCCAATTCGGAATTCGGATTTGCTGTTCACTGACCCGGCTGTGTGCGAATAAATTCTGTGGTTTGTGCTGCAGGTTAAGAGTCTCGAAAACTCGGTCCAGGGACATACAAGTCTGCAGACAAGGAAGCCTAGCTGTCTGCACTGCTGCTATCTGCTGGTCCTAGTTTGGGCCGGAAAATGTACAAAGTGGTCAACGACACGGTGCACCACGCTCCACTACTAGCACTTCTACTTCCCTTCATACCGAAATCCCTTAATTCCGGCGATACCATGAGTAGTACTCAATCCGTACTTGGAAAACGGCTCTCCCTCTCTCTCCTCTAAACTTGGACTTGGTGCTTTCTTGGCTTGATGTTCAACATAGTCTAGCACACAACAAGCTTCGAGCTCCAAGGAGCTCTTATCCAAAGCCATCTGCAGTTACCTCGAACCAGCATCAGGAAACTCACGCGCACTTCAGCATACCACGCCACATGACAACACGATTCTCTCTCAAGCCCAGGCTTGGGCACATTCCTTCATGAAAATGTAGAACAATATAAACAAGCAAACTGGCAACGCATGTCTAAAATCTAGGCACGGCCCTTTGTATGTCTGTCTGTGTGTGTTTGTATGTCTGTCTGTGTCTGTCTGCCTGTATGTTTGCATGAATGTTCAAATGCACGCAAACGAACCGAAAAAACATGATCGAATAATATAGGGGTCTTAATAACTAGCATTGCGTCTTGGCGCCGATTATACTGCAATGATGATCAGGATCCCAAATAATATAGGTAGTTATTTCGGCCCCTTTTATATCCCACAAGTCCTGGGTCGCGAAGCTCTCGTGTGGCGGAGCCTCGGATGGGCACCACCCACCCGCGGCTTCTCGGTGGCAGCAGCCTGGGCACGTGGCCCATGGAGCTGAGTGTGCGTATACATATCCATTTTCGTATGTATATTATACGTGATAAAAAGAGATAAAAATAACTATAGATATAATAGGTGTACACATATGTAATGTGTATGTGTACTGTGCAGTGGTCCAATTTTGGGGTCCGCAGAGCGACCCTGAAACCGGAACTCGAACACGGCAAGCAAAATATGGTTACGAGGATGGGAGCACAAAGCAGCCCGACAAGTAATCTAAATGATTGGGACCGACGTTGTGGTTCCCAAAATGTGGAGTTTCCGTGGCTCCCGAACTCGGCCTGCGGCGCGGCCCGTAAACTGGTGACCTTGCTACTGCTGGCATTAAGAAAGCTGCCCAGAAAACGGTCCCAGAAACGAAGCCGGAAGTTGCACGTATTGCTTGCCAATCCAGTGCCCTGCAGCTGCCCAAACGTGCTAGCTGCTGGAGTAGACGAAAAGTTTGCATGTAGCTTGCTGCGACATGGCCCTACATTGCAGAACTTGCCCTTCCCCCAGACAGGGCATGTAAGCTCATTGCCCTTTTATAATACTGTGCATTGGTCCAATCTTGGGGTCCGCAGAGCGACCCTGAAACCGGAACTCGAAGACGGGAAGCAAATCTGGTTACGAAGATGGGAGCACAAAGCAGCCCGACAAGTAATCTAAATGATTGGGACCGACGTTGTGGTTCCCAGAATGTGGAGTTTCCGTGGTTCCAAAACTCGGCCTGCGGCGCGGCCCGTAAACTGGTGACCTTGCTACTGCTGGCATTAAGAAAGCTGCCCAGAAAACGGCCCCAGGAACGAAGCCGGAAGTTGCACGCTTTGCTTGCCAATCCAATGCCCTGCAGCTGCCCAAACGTGCTAGCTGCTGGACTAGACCAAAAGTTTGCATGTAGCTTGCTGCGACATGGGCCTACATTGCAGAACTTGCCCTTCCCCCAGACAGGGTATGTAAGCTGATTGCACTTTTATAATACTGTAAGTATAGAATGAGAGAGGGAGAGAGACATATAGAGTATCTTCACGTATGTGTGCTCGTATACATGTAGACATTGGACATTTGCACCTGGCTCTTGGGATCTATGCTTTGAACGTGTAAAGGGAAGGCGGGCTGTCGGATGTGACGGTTGGATTTGATAAGGGCTGTTGTGAAGGGCCAGGGACCGGGGTTTAAAGATGAATTTGAGAGATGGGTCCTTCGAAGTGTTAGAAGTTTGTACCGGCAGGTGAGATGCTCGAATGCAACGGCAGCATTCACGATCAGACACTCGGTTAAGGTTTCATGGTCTCCATCTTGGGATTTTAGATAGGCACAACACCAAGAACAAAAGTATGCCAGTCCAACCGGGTACGCGAAACCGGCATAATCATAACTTGGACTGTCCTACACCCAAGACCGTCAATCCGAAGCCCTGGCTTCGTCCTGGCTTCAGCCCAAGATGCCAGCAAAGGATCAAACAGATCACCGCCCCCTGGAGGCCAACCTACACGGGAATTCTTCGAGAACAACCTCCGCTGGACATGCGAGAACGTGGGGCAGACGATCCATGCAGGAGCAGGAGCAGCAGCAGGAGTAGGAGGAGTGGTAGAGGTGGTGGTAGTAGTAGTAGTAGTAGTAGTAGTAGTAGTAGTAGTAGTAGGAGTAGTAGTATTAGTAGTAGTAGTAGTAGTAGTAGTAGTAGTAGTAGTAGTAGTAGTAGTAGTAGTAGTACTAGTAGTAGTAGTAGGAGTAGCAGTAGCAGTAGCAGTAGCAGTAGGAGTAGGAGTAGGAGTAGGAGTAGGAGTAGTAGTAGTAGTAGTAGTAGTAGTAGTAGTAGTAGTAGTAGTAGCAGTAGCAGTAGCTCCCACTTGCCGCAGCGGTAGAAGCTTAATTAGTAGAAGTAGTAGGAGCAGTAGCAGTAGCAGTAGCAGTTGCAACAGCCGTGGCCGTAGCAGCATCAATAGCGGAGTACGAGTAGGAGCAGCCGCAGTAGGAGTAGGAAAGTCATATCGTCCTGACATGAAATGCCATCAACCCGCTCACTCAAGACTGGCCTGGGCATGCCGAGGTCGCCACAGGCAAGATGCCATGGGCACCAGGCATTGCCAGCGCGTACACGACGACCAGAGCGGTTTAGAGTTGAAAGCATCTGAGGCTGAAGCTTGCAAGAAGCAACACCATTACTGGTACCGTGCACGCAACTGTCGGAAATTAGACTCGGCAGATGTACAAGAAACTGGTCCGGTGCATTCACACTGCGCATGGCTGCACCTTTTCACCTACCATTGAAGCTTTCACTGTCGCTTCTTCATGGCAGATCCAGCAAAGCCATTGGCTGCACGACGCCCAGTCGATCGTCCGAACAGATGAAAAACCGGACTTTGCAATGCAACAGGCTGGGTGCATGGCCAGCCACTCCTCCTCTCGCTGCAATTGTGCACTCTCCCGGCCTTGTCTGTGTTGTCTGGCGGGGTGATGCGGGGTGCATGTTGGGACCTGGAATTAAAGAACCTTCGCTTGCAGTCTGGCTTCGATCACCTCTGTCCCGTTCAGCCAACGAAGGACGAAGGAAGGGAAAGTCTGATGCCCTCAAGGTGATGAAGCATAGCGAATCCCAACACGAAGTATCCGTAATCTGAGTACCAACTTTCTTTCGGGTTTAATGTTTCTTCTGCCGAGTTATGAACTAGAGGACTCGTTTCTTTAGAGGCAAACAGTTCATCCTGATCACAGGACAGAGCAGAGACTCACCCTACATACTCAAGGCCAGGCTTCGCGCTTCAGCACCTTAGGAAGGCGTCTATTGAAGGAGCCGACGTGTAAGATTAGCAGACGGTCAAAAGAAAGGGTTCCAAATTCACATGGATCATCTAATATCTCGGCCTACGAGAGTGTGTGCTTGTGTGCTTCAGCTCCAACTGCTTTTCTGCTCAGATGCGGTGAAGCGCAGCCCATGCGGTCATGCTGCCGGTTGACTGAAGACCTACCTGGTGCTCTCGGCACCAGCACCTTTACAACTGGGATTGCGCGCAGCAGCCAGCAGAAGGGCGCGGCCCGTCGGAGGTGGATCGTCTCCACAAGAGACACACAGGATGCACAAGCCGCGAGTCTACGCATTCGTTCTGCGGCACTTGTAGCCTCCCCGTGTAGTGACACGAGGGTGGGCAGGTCACCTCTGGCAAAGACATGTCTTAAACTATGAGGAGGCATCTTCTGCCCTCGAATGCAACGGGCTGCAGGGCAAGTTGCTTTCGAGATGACTTTGGCAATTTGGGATCTAAGCAGCCCGATCCGCACCGATTGAAAGCAAGGGCATGAAGATGCTTCTGTAGGAACATCGAGGATTAGGTGCTCCAGTTGCACAGATCCAAGATCCCTTCGGCTCTGGCGGGTGGCGGGCCGAGTTTCTAGTTTCAGGGCTTCGGGATGGGGTTTCGAGGCAGTCACCACTCAACGGACAATGACGGGCCCGATGGCCTGCTCCCGTCGCACCCACTTGATACTTCCTCTTTCCTGTGTCTGAAGATCCAACGGACTTCAAAGTCTACACCCGTAATGCTTGCACCGACCACTGCCCCACAAGAACAACAGGCACGACTACCTCACGCAAGGCCTACGAACTACTACTATTTCAACAAGAAGTACTGGCACCACCTACCACGACCCCGAATTACCACCGGACCACACCCATTACTACAATCACTAAACCCAAGGCCACAACAACAAAGCTGCTGCTGCTGCAGCTGCTACTGCTGCTACTATTGCTACGGCAACTCCTACTACTACTACTACTACTACTACTACTACTACTACTACTACTACTACTACTACTACTACTACTCCTACTCCTACTCCTACTCCTACTCCTACTCCTACTCCTACTGCTACTGCTACTGCTACTGCTACTGCTACTGCTACTGCTACTGCTACTGCTACTGCTACTACTACTACTACTACTACTACTCCTGCTACTACTACTACTACTACTACTACTATTGCTACTACTGCTGCTGCTGATGATGATACTTCTTCTGCTGCTCCTGCTCCTATTCCTACTACGGCGACGGCCGAAGCCAAGGCGAAGGCGGGCTTCTGCTCCCGCTGCGTTGCTACTGCCACTGTACTAACTACTGCCAGCACTGCTATCACCACTGCACCCAGGCTACTGTAATCCTAATGCACTGCTACTGCTTCTTCGGTTCTTCTTCTCCTGCCGCTGCTGTGGTTTCTGCTCAGGAGCCATTGAAAGCTATTGATTATGACCGAGTTTAACCAAATCATTTCCGTCACTGTAATCGTTGCTGCTTCTGGGAGCAGGCTGCATCCAGCACATTCTGCGAGCACATGCTCTTTCTATGCGGCAAGCCTGTGAACAGGTCAAAGAGCTGTGACACGCAGTTCATTCACGACAAGGAAGCGAGGTGCGCGAGGTTGCAGTCTTGCCCTGAGTGCAGGCACCCAAGTGTGAGTGAAGGGGCAAAGGAAGGCTCAACAGCATCAGCAAGTCACACTCTGCTGGAACACTGTCTTCGAAGAACTCCTCAAGACTTGTTTCCCTGAGCTGTCCTCACGATTCGTGGGTTGGGCCTCTGGGACTCCTACGCTTCGAGGTCTTCTGCTCCTAAGGCCCAAGCTGAAGGGCACGGAACGTTCCCGGCCTGTTCTGAACTCGCCTGGGTGATGCAGCTCCCAGTTCGACAGGTAGACTGCCTCTGAGATGCGGCCTTGTACTTTCGGCAAGGCAAGACTCCCAGTTTGAAGGGCACTATTGCGGGCACCAAAGCATAAATCTGCTGCTTCAGCTTCTAGAAAACGGCGCATGTCGGACGTACGCTGCATACTCCATACTTGTCCAAAGGGTCTCACGAAATTCATCACTGAGGGTCCCTCCTTCGTACTCCTGAAGCTTGCTTTTTCAAATCGCCCCGCTTCAAGACAAGGCACACGCAGAGTTGATGACCTAGATCGGCAAGTTTGTCCGCAAACGACGGAAGCATGTCGGGTTCCAGTGCTCGGAAGACAGTCACAACCAGGAACTGCAACAGACCCTGTGGCCTCAAACTTGCATGGCTAACACTCTCGATGCCACCACTATACGTCCCCCTGCGTGGTCACATGACTCGGCTATGTTGCCTTAGCTCTGGACTCGCTCCTACATTGAAGAGCCATAGGCCATGCTAACCTCTGCAAACAGCTTTGCAAGGTGAACGAGTTGCTACTGCAAAAACTAGTCGGCACTGTCAGCTGCCCGGCATTTCGCTACCGTCTATTTATAAACCTTCAGAGCAAGCCGGAGAATCTCGCGCACACACCGTCCACAAGCCGTTGCTGTTTCATTACCCAAGCGGCCATGATAATCGCCACTATGCGCGCCGCGAAGTACAGCTGACGGAAGGGAGACATCTTAGGCCTGGGCTTAGGGCTTCAGCAAACCAGACGGGGGCCTGTGCAGTCGGGGCTAGTTAGGCCAGCCTCCACCGCAGTGTTCCTGGGCAGGAATTGTAGGGTTTATGGTGGCGTGCTCAAGATATGATACCGAATCCCACCAAATCCTTTCCTTGCCCGAGGTGCGATTTGATGACAGCGGAGTTCCTTGGAACGGATGGTGGTGTTGACAGCTTCAAAGCGATTTTGCGAGCATGGTTTGGCCTTACCAGGGCCATCCAGGGCCCAATGCCGGGCAGAGACAGAGGCTTCCAGAGAGCTCCGTCGGCAGGGTATTGAACCGTAAGCGAGAACTAGCATACTTCTGCCATCCTCTCTAACACATGTTCTTCTACTACTTTGTTGAGGTTTTGGAAGGATGTGTAGTGTGAAGAACACTCTCTTCCTCATTTTGCTTCGGCGTGGGCTCAAACCTACACATTCTGCTGTTCGAAGTACGACGGAATCCCGTAATGCTTGAACTGCAATGGTTACAGTATGTTACAATCACACGTCTGGTGTTGGCATAACTCCAGTGACTCTAGTAGAGTACAACATCAGCGATACTCTGAATCGTATTATGTGGAGAGGCTGCAAGGCACCAAATTCCTAAGATGCTAGACGAACGCTCAAACTTCAAGCGCGCATGAAAAGTGTGGCTTCTCTTCTCGAACAAAACGCGGAACCCTTCACCAGATTTTTGTTTGTTTGGGGCGCGGGGTCCGGTGCCCAGTCTGAAAGGGCAAGGCATGGAAATACATGAAGAGGGACGTGTGGACATCCTGATCCCCAGGTGATGTTCTGATCATGCACTCAGAAACTGCAAAACCAACACCGGTCCCGAAAAGGACCCTGCTCTTCAACAGCTTTCAAGCAAAGCCAAGCATCAATGCCAGCATGATGTGGGCGAACAGGCACCTTCGTTGGCCCGGGATGCTTCCATGAAGCTACCAGTAGACAAGAACATTGATTGTGCTTGTGCCTGAGTTTGTCATATATGTACGCATGGAAGTTCGTAGTCACTTCTTCCTTTGCTTGCCATTTCTGTGCCTTGAGTTGTACAACGGTCGGAAATGAAACGTAGTTCTGTTTCGGCTTCTCAACAGGGCTTCTCGTCTCGATTAATAATGACCCTACCGCTCAGGGTCGGGATAAGATTTTCTGGATTTCCCGATTTCGCCCCATCCTTGCAATTCGATCGCATGCAGGATCGAGAACCAGCCTGCGCCTGAGGACCCTCGCAGCCAAACAGCTTCTTCCAGTTTTGATTTGTGAGACCCTGCTGGCTGAAGTATCATGCATTTAAGGCTCAAAGCCACACCAAATCTACGGCAAGCTGAAGGCACGGTAGGAAGTCATTCACGGCATTGGAGATGACCTCAGCGCATGCACAACAGGCAGGACGGGACGAAGCCTAGGAAGCTTACGAATGCTTTGGCATCTTGATCCCACAGCCTAAAGTCCTGAATCTCTGTCGCTGCACAGGACCCATGGTGGGTGTTGGGGGGACCTTGTGATGCAGCTCCTGAGCCCTTCCAATCTGCGAACTGGAAACATAAACAAATGCGAGCAATAAATAGCAACAACAACTGCCAGCAACATTTCCAACATCATCATTACATTTACTAGTACTATGATTGTGTGGCTACCTTAATACCGCGATGATGTGGTTACTGTTGCTGTTCTCGTCAAGTTCTGGTGCTTTGCTGCAAGGCCACGAGAGCCAGGCCCACTTCAGCTTGCAGCTGCACGGCCGTCAACGCGATCGTCACGGTGTAGAACTTGGTGCTCGCTCAGACTTCCAGGGGTAATCCGTGAGGTTCCTTTAAGGGGCTCCACCAAGGGATCTAGAAAGCTCTCAGGGGCCTTCATGATACGAGCTCGGTTTGGGGGGGGTATGTCATAGTGGAGTGGTATAGGTACTGAAAAGGATCCCGTGTAACGAAAATCCTGACAGTTGGGCCTCCTCGAAAGGTAAAACTCCTCCTTCAGGGATGGCTCCTTTAAGCAGCCGCGTCGACAATGA